TGGCACGGTAACTCTATCTCCAAAATCCTAAAATATTCACCATGTCTCTTCAGAAAACATCAAAAACTCCCCACGACTGTAGCAGCTCCTCTGATCTGGGTTCTCTTATGCTGTGAACTTGTTGAACCCTGCCATGTCCAGCCCATACACGGGGTAGCCAACTTTAAATGTTGGAGGGCCACTCAAATAAATGAGCTAAAAATCACATTTTCAAGAGTCATAAATGGTGGGGATCACCGATAGTTATTTAAGTCTCAGTTGTTGTTTTTTTTTTAAGATGCTTTATAGTGAGCACCACACGATATTTTCTCTTTGATTTTCAAAATCTAGTTCCTGGCCTGATCAGATGATTTGGCCCACAGGCTGCCAGTTGATGATCACTGCCATACATCATATAGTCTCTCAAAATAGTCCTTTTCAATTTTGCTGCTAGGACTATTCTTAACGCTAAGCCTCATTAATTCCACATGTAACTTATTTTTAATAATAATAATAATAATAATAATAATAATAATAATAACATTACTGTATTTTCCGGATTATAAGGGATTTTTCTTCCACCACATTCCTTTGGAGCCATGTGTCTCGCTGACCTTTGCCCCCCCCTCACGCCCACCATGATGCTCTGTGACACACTTGTCCCAGGATTTCCCACACTCTTCTGACAGATCAATGCCACGGAATCTGGAAGTGCATCACAATGAAAGTGTGTGTGAATGACCTTAAAACCTTTTTTCAATGTTTATAAAAGTCAATATGAACATTTTTAGTCAAAACTGTTTAAATGGTAATATAAAGTAAAAGATGTTTAATACTTGAATCTGTGATAGAAAAGATGTGATATTTTAAACAGGGGCGTCGTGACATCTGTTGTTAATAAGGCTCAGTGCCGTGTTGTGTCTCCTTTGAGTTGACTGTGATTTTAGTTTAGACTTTCATGGTCTGGTGTCATAGTGAGAAGCTGTTACTCCCCAGGGTGGCTGTTTCTGTGTGTGGGCGTGTGTGTCTGATGAGCTGCAGGTGTGTGTGTTTGACTGAACAATCACGTGTGACGTCAACAGGTGGAACCTGATGATTCTGTCACGAAGCCCAGTAGTTCCAGTGTCACTAAATTAAATAGGGTTTTTTTGTCTTTAGTTCCATCTGAATACTGAACATATCAACAAGTACAGGTTGTTCAATAAATTCTAAGACAGATTTTTAAGAAATGTCAGAAACTGTGATGGGTTTTATTGTTATGTTTTTTAACTCTTTTTTGTTAATTTAAAAAATATACATTTTTTAAATTAACAAAAAATTACAATCTGTTAAAATCATTTCAAATCACAGCTTTACAACAGGATTTGATTTAGCTCCATGTTTCTTCGTCCTTTTCCCAAAACTGAGAGCCTAAACTGAAACAGGGCATTTTAAAAGAAACTTTTTTTCATTAGAAGAGACAAAGGAGCAAGGGGGTGCTAAAAACGTCTTTGGAATTATACAAAACAGGAAATATTCAAGGAAACACCGCTTGCAAAAATGGTTTAATCTACGATAGAAATATCAGAAAAATCTTCCAGTTTAGTAGTTTTTGTTGTATCCCATTTGCCTGTCAGACATTGATCTAACATAAGAGTTACTCTGAAACAGTTATCAAAGTATTTTCACAAATGTGTATATATATATATATGTATGTATGTATGTATAGTGGTATAGGAAATGGGATATACCATGGTCCAAAGTAAGAATCCAAAAAGAGAGAAGAAAAATGTATTAAAGTGACTTTGAACGTGACATGATTTGTGGAGTCTAACAGGCTGCCCTGGGTATTTTACAAACTGCTGATCTACTGGGACTTTGCACCATCTCCTGGGTTTCCAGACAATGCTGAGACATAGAAAAGAATCCAGTGAGCAGCAAAAAAATAAAAATAAAAAGTGAGTGCCATGTTTGTTACTTTCACACCTTAAACACTATTTACACCAGTTAAATAGGTGGAGAGAATTCTTTGTATTGAGTCGAAATGCACCATAACAAACTGGTGTGATCCCAACACCAAGACAAAAAAACAAAAACAATTTCAGATAACTATTTCAATTAAAACAGACTACTTATTCAGCAGACAGCACACTGGGCCAATCAAGCCTTTGAAATTCTCAGTGATTGCAACTTGGCTCGCACCGCATAAAGTCTTTGTGTGGCTAATAACAGAGTACAGAACCACATCCACATCAAACTTTTGCAGAATAAAAAGAGCTAATTCCATGGTTCTGAAAAAAATAAACGATGAAAAAAAAATGATGCAAACTTTTTATTTACATCTTAAAACTTCCAACCCTTCCTTTGAGTCAGAAAACTAAATTAAAACTGTTGCTGTGCTTATTTCTTTGCTTCATTAAATGCAAAGCAGAAAGAAGGAGACTCAGATAGATAGAATTTATTTAAATCAGTAAAAAAAGTTCTTTTCGCTGATTTTCCCGAACTCAAGAAAATTAATTTTGAAAGCACAGCTGCCAGCAGCATTGTCTGAAGACGCTCCGGCACTCAGAGTTGGCACTGATTAGCCTGGCCTGGATTAGCCTGGCTAAACTTTTTTATTAAAAAAAAAACTTCCCTGCTGAAGACTTGTTTTGGGGGCATTTCGAATATCAATAATTTTATCAGGTGCCAACCGTACTCTGGCTGATTCTAGCTATATTCTACCTTTTAGCTTTCATAATTTTATCAGGTGCCAACCGTACTCAGGCTGATTTTAGCTATATTCTGCCTTTTAGCTTTCTTCTTTATAATATTGCTATATATCAGGTTTTTCTTTAATAAACTATGGCGATGTTGACAGAATAGTAATTTGTGCAGGTCAGAACTATTTAACCTTACTTTTCACCAGCCAGGGTTTAGAACGTGACTTACACAAAAAATTGGAGGCATTTTAAGCTAAACGCTAACTTATGTCTGACTTAAAGGTCACTACTGACTTCAGTGACATCACCTCTAGAGCAGGGGTGTCCACACTTTTTTTTGACATGGGAGCCACTATTCAAAAGGCTTCAGTGATCTACCTGCAGTACATGTACTGTACAGTGCATGTAAATGTAAAATATACAGTATATACACTTATGTAAACTATACATTTTTTATTATACATGCATTATACATGCGTTTCTCTCTGGCACAGTATGATTAGATTCCTACAATATATGGTCTATATAAACTATATATAAACTGTATATAAACATATATAAACTATATATATATATATTTATATATTTTTATATATATTTATATATATTTAATATATATTTTTATATATTTAATTGCTAACGATCTTCCAGCAGTCCCTTTGCGATCAACTGCTAGATCCAGATCTCTTTTTTGGAACCCCTGCTCTAAAGCTACAGTAATTCTTTTTCAAAAATGTCACATATCCTGATAGTACATATTATATTTGAGCTAAAATATAAGGTAAACGTTGCAAAGACATCCGGTAAAAGCATGAGTGTAAATGGAAAGAGGAAAGAGTCTACCTTAGTATATGTAACAAAGAAAGATCCGGGGCACAAACACTTACTCTTTGATGGAGCTCGAAGGTTGGACGCCACCACTCTCATGGAGTCTGCTTCGACCTTCAGAACGAAAGAAGAATTGGCCTCATAGTCCAGAGCTCTGGCTGTGAAGATTTCCCCTGTGGTTTCGTTTAACCAGAACTCGCCTGGAAGCACAGGAGGCAAAAAACAATGGAAGATTCAGGTTGAGAGTGGACAAAAGAAAAAAAAAGAAATATTGATTGGTGAGACTTTTCGAAAAATCTTTAGTTTGTTTTAATTGTAGAGCTTCTTGAGCGCAGGGTTAACAAGTAAAGAGACGTTGAGTCATTTTAGGTCATTTGAATTTCATAGAACTAAAGAACTGTCTCCATATCAACGGTATATTTGGCTTGTTTTAACAACCCTATTATGGACAAACGTGCCATAAAGCATCTCAGTATGTGCACTTCAAAAAAGTATATTTTCAGTATATTCCTTCTAATATATATGTATATCTTGAACTATATTTGTCAAAGGGCCTGAATTGTCTTAAATAAATTAAAATATAAAACACATTTTTGATGGAATGTAAATGTTGTTGATCCTTTTTGATCCTCACAATTTTGGAATCCAGTCGCCGGATAGGACGATTCTGTAAAACTACATATGTCAGAAAGGGTTTTCAGCATTCTAAACCTTAAGGCCACTCATTTAAATCAAAATATATAGAGATTCTGTAACATTTCATATTGAAATGCACATTTTTTTCTCATCCAATAGCGTCTCTTTTATTTTATTTATTTTTTTATTAAGTATAAAGGTAATATGAAGAATATGGAAAAAACAGTTTTCAATTGAAATAGAAAATAGCACAGCCCATTCAGTCCAAGGATGGTTTTGGAACCCTCACTCTCATCCCCTTATCTGAGCAGAAAAGGAGCCACAGGGACATTTAAGTGGAGAACTTTGATCAACGACGCAATTATCACGGAGTACAACTGTGATTATACTAGCATGCAGTATGAGATAAAAAAACAACAACATTACAGCTCTTTGCAAGTAGTCACTGTAAACAAATTTATCGGATAGACTCAGACTTTCATTATCAGAATCAGAAGGCAGGCAGAAAAGCCAGCGGAGTCCACAGCAGTGGAGCTCTCTGCTTACACACAGCTCATAGTAAACTCACCTCCCTCGTTGCCTTCAGTGATGGAGTACACAATAGTCTGATTGACAGCAGCCGCCACAATGACTCCCACCGGGGTTCCGGTATCAGCCTGTTCACTTACAGGTGGAAATCTGGGGAAAGGGTCATTCAGGTTATATTAGCACGTGTGAACTGTGGGGCCATAGAGTGGAATGTTTGCAACGTTTGTCAAGAAAAGCTCGCTCTGCCTTGCTGCTGGCCAATGTACAATGAATTTTTAAACGTACTGACACACACAAACATTTCCTGAGGTCCTTCCACATCAACGTCTCCTCTTTTTTTGACATCTT